CCTATAGAATGCATTAATTTAACTTGTTACTCTTTATAACCTTAGTTACAAATATTGTCCTCTTGGACGCCTAGGCTCCAAAATGTGTATTTGATTTGATGCTTTAAAATAGTGTAATATTTTTTCTAATTACAAATATAATAAAAAGTCAAACTCGGTTCAGATTGTTCAGAAAATCATAACAGAGAATGTGAAAGTCCTCCAAAACTTCTTTCCTGATGATGTTCAGTATCTGTTCTCTATGTATTATTGTTATTTATCTTTTTACAAAAATGATGTTTTTCTCAGTTGACATTCTATTTTGGGCACATCCACACTCTTCTTAAAAATGACTTCACAATATTTCACAATTTTCCTGTTGATGAACCTTTGGGTTTTTCAGTTTTTCACTATTTAAGACATGTTTTTTACCAGTATCTGTGCACTTGTGGGAATATTTACACAAATTCCTATATTTATTTAGCACAAATTCCTAGAAGTGGAAAAGCCAGGGAAAAATATTTAAACATTTAAATTTTTAATAGAAATTGCCTTATTCTCCTCCAAATATGTGCCTGTTTAAACCCTCAATGACAGTGCCCATTTCTGCTACTTGTACACTTCTAAGAAACCAAGCCCTTTTCACATTTGTCAGTACGGCAGGCTTGGAGTTAGGGGTTGAAGCCTTCAGCCTTTCTTTAGCTTCTTGAGTTGAATGTTTATTTAGTCTGGTCTTAGGCTGGGTTCTTTAGAGAAGCAAAGCCAGTGAAGTGTGTGTGTGTGTGTGTGTGTGTGTATGTATATACATATACATAGAAGGAGAGATTTATCTGAAGGAAATGGGTCACACAGTTGTAGAGGCTGGCAAGTGCCAAGTCCTTGGATCAAGCGTCAGGCTGGAGGCTTCTCCTGACTCACATAGCTGCAGGTGCTGACGAATCCAAGATGGGCAAGCAGTACAGCAGGCCGCCGGTTCAAGTCCCAAGAACCAGTGGTCAGATGGTGATGAGCCGGGTGCAGGATCCAGAGCAAGCAAAAGCTACCAAGCTTTGCCAGAATGGCCATATGTGTTGGGTGCAGGCCACACTGCTGAGGAAGCTTCCCTTACAACTGATTGACTTATCACATCAGATCACATCATGGAGGTGATTACATTATATCATAAAATAGAGGCTAACTGCATCATTACACAACGGCCAAATTGCATCATTACATAACTGCCAAACCACTGAAAATCATTGCCCAGCAAAGATGACACACGACTTAACCATCATAGTCTGTTTATTTTCTTTCTAGTTTGCCAATAAGTACATTTAAGATCATCACTTGCTTCTTCGTACATTTTCATCACCCCTGTATGCTTTAGCCATCATCCCTACCCTCAATCCCCTTCTCTAAGACCTAGGCAACCACTAATCTATTGTCTGTTTGTATAGACTTCTCTGTTCTGGATATTTAATATGAGCAGAATCAAACAATATGTGGTTTTTTTTGTCTGGCTTCCTTCACTTAGCATAATGTGGTCACGGTTCATTCATGTTGTCGCATGTATGAGTACTTCGTTCCTTTTTATGACCAAATGACACTCTGTTGTATAATATACCACATTTTGTTTATCCATTTGTCAGTTGATAGACATTTGTGTTATTTCTGTGTTTTGGCTATTACAAATAATGCTGCTAAAAAGCATCCACGTACAAGTTTCTGTGTGGACATATGTTTTCTTTCTTTTGAATATGTACCTAGGAGTGGAATTATTGAGTCATATGGTAGCTCTATTTTTAATCATTAGAGGACCTGCCAGACAGTTTTCAAAGTGCCTGCATCATTTTACATCCCCACCGGTGGTGTAAGAGGATTCTGATTTCCCCACAACTTTGCCATCCCTCGTTATTACATCTGATTCTAGCTAACCTTGTGGGTATGAAGTGGTATCTCATTGAGGTTTTGATTTGGAATTCCCTAATGATGAATGATGTTAAGCATTTTTTCATGTGCTTCTTGACTGTTTGTATATCTTTCTCGCAGAAATGTCTATTCAAGTCCTTTGCCCATTTTTAAGTTGTTATTTATCGTTTTATTACAGAATTGTAAGGCTTCTTTATATTTTGTAGTAGAAGTTTCTTATCAGATATGTGATTTACAATTATTTTCTCTTGTTCTGAAGGTTTTTTTTTTTCACTTTATTGATGGTATCCTTTGAAACACAAAAGTTTTCCATTTTAATTATGTCCAGTTTATTTTTTCTTTTGTTGCCTGTGCTTTTGGTGTCATATCTA